GCTTAGAGATATTAAATTTTGTCTTTATGAACAGAAAATCGATCGAAACATCAGATCACCATTTTTAATTATCAATACAGGAAAAACCAAACACTATCCAAATCAAACCGTTCCTTCCCCCCGCAGACACCAGTTATTAGTATCCAGTCCCAACTGGATTCAATATGGCTGCCCAGGATTGCTCGTTTTTCGGTTATAAAAAGTAATCGATTTGACTATGAGGCTTACGGCTTACGGCGTAATCCAATTTTGTCAGTCCTCGGAATTTTCCTCGTCCAATTACATCTTAAGGAGGGGTGATGGGAACCTTTGGAATTGACTCATACATAACTCAATGTTTTTTATCCATAAATTATTTACTATTATTTGTTTACATAACTTAATCCATGACAATTATCTTAATTACTAAGTTATCATGGAAGGGTTTAGCACTCAATTAGTGTTTCAATTTACAAATTATGACAAATAACTGAAACCCCAATTATTGTTATTACCAAACTCATTAACATATGGCAAGTATAAACCTTGATATCTTTAAAATACATCACCCGCGAAAAATATTTTACCATTCAACTATTCACTTCATATAGAATCAATACTGAAAATATTAAACGAGGTAATAAAAAAAAGGTACGTCTTCATTCCGTTATTTTCATTTCCATGTCAGACTTCATATCAATAGTTCTAAAATTAAATTAACGACATTGAACGGTGCACACGCCGGAAAGAATTAAGATTAAGAATTAAGCTTTAAAAGCTTTACAAATGGGAAAAAGGTAGTTTCTTGAATACCTGCCTCAAGCATTGCCAGTTCGAAAAAAAAATAAGGTAAAGTTATTCTTAATTAAACTAGCATATAATTAAATGTTTATCGTATATGTTAGTTATATATATTATTTATTGTTTTAGTTAACTACCATAACTTTTTACTGTGATCACTTTTTTTTAAATTGAAGAACATTCTCTTTTTTTTAACAGTTCGTAAAAAATAGACTTTTTATCTTAAATTAAAAGCGGCTTCACAATTTCAAATGTCTTGTTGGGACTTCCATTTTTTTATTTTTTGTTTTTGTTTTTTGYTTTTTGCTTTTTGTTTTTTCTTGTTGAATATCCATCACTTCGGTTCAACATATCTTCAATGGAAAAAATTGCCCATATATTTGGAATATTTGCTCTTTTCGGTCTTTTTCCTCTCTTTCCAAAGCAAAAGGTTGTTCTTAAAAGTAAAGTTTTATAGCACAAGTAAACTGCGTGACACAACATCCTAAATGACCCTAAATCTTCTGTTCTTTCGCTAACTACTGTAGTTAGCGTGTTTTCGAGGCTGCGAAACCTAAGAAACCATAAGAAGCGAATGCATAGGCCAGCAGATAGTATGAGCTAATCAGCAAAAATACGGTTCTAAATTTTAACAAATTCCTATGAATTATATACCAAAATATTCAGGAAAGCCCGGGGTTTTTCAAATCCACTTTTGTTTTTTTGACAGGTTCTGTTTTATTTCAAGGAGAGACGATTTTCTAGCTTGACCCCGGTTATGTCATGCATTTTCTCTTGTAAAATACGTCCAATAGCGTACATTCAACTCAAAAAGTACGGTGGTTTTTTTCAATAGAATCCAATTTAAACCATATAGTACAGTCCGTGAATAGCTGAATTAACTGAATCCACTTCTGTTTTTTGCCTAGATAGTCATTATTTTGAGAAAAGATCCAAAAACCGTGTTTTTGAGACATAATTTGTATGGGCTCACATGAGGGGGCCTGAGCTTGAAATCGTAGCTGACCAAATGTTAACAGATTTTTTCTGATGTGATTTGTTTTAAAATTCCTTGATGGTTACTCGTATGAATACCTCGATAATATTTCTGAGTGCTGAGGTAAAAAGAGATTAAACCCCAAATAATATTGATTCCAAGCTACAGGCAATTTGCTATAGAACATGAAAAAATAAGAGCATACAAGAATAAAATGGTATGTTAAGTAGTGTTGAAGTAATGGAAAAGATTTCTGACCAACGAAAGTCAATTCCTTGCCCTATTTCTTTTTTATTTTTATTTTATTTTGCCTTTCAATTTGTCAGATTTTACTTGACATTTTATAAATAAAAGAAATATTATTTCAATATGGCCTTTAGCTATTCTTAGTCCAATTATAGTTTATTATGCAATAGAGTAGCAAAATGATGACGTCACAAAATTATTCATTTTTACGACCTTAGGACAGTGCTCACTAACTGCAAGGTGTTTCCTTTGCATTGTGTTAGTCTTTTCAAAATACCCAGGAGGCCTCTGGAATCTGAAAAAAAAAGTGTCATCATGCATATAAGAGAGATATTAATTAACGTTAAACACTGATGACGTAAGAAGCAAGTTTTGGGCATGGCTCTTCAAAACTGCCGACTATTTCTCTACGCAACTTTTGATCTGGCTGAATCTTGAGAAATTGGATTCAGTGCAAAATAATAGAGAAAGTATATCACATTTCCATTTCTACAGCTTGCTATGGTTATAACAGAAATGTAAGCAATAGTGTGTTCTTTTTGATTATGGACATTTCAATTGCAATATATTTGAAATTTGATGACCTTCCACTTCAGTACAACAGAATTTTTCAGTGAGCTRGAGCTATGGTGCGCGCGCATTTTTGATTTGTTAGCCTAGAATTCTCAAAATACTCTTCGGGTAATATGATAGATAACGATGTATCGCTGTTAAATCGAGAGAGAGGGCCGCCAATGTTAACCCGTAGTGGGGCTCAAAATTACCTCGTGATACAGAAGAGAATCACGATACAAAAATTATTGCGATTTTGAGTCGCCAATACAGGTCATATTTAGTACTACTAAAGGCTTGGTAAATAGAGACATGAATTAKAAAAGCATAAAACAGTGTCGTTATAAAAAAAAATTGCCCCCCCCTCCCCGCCATACATTCTACTTTAATAACTGACATAGTGTCACTGTAAGTATTAATGGTGATGGTTTTTATGTACTATATGATTAATGCCTTTCWCCGTTGCCTTTTTATTAATAAAATAACGTTTGCTTCATGCATATTCACTGACATTTTTTTCTCTTCTTGCTGTCCGCAGAAGGCGTAGTCAAGGAAGATTCTAGAAAAATGAACAACAATACGACAAGCAGCAACAATTCCGTGATAATATTAGGAAACCCATCTTTGGTTTTCCATGAATTTCACGTCAATTTAACAGAGCGATGCATTGGAATAACATTCACTATGATTCTCATGCTTTTGACTCTCTTTGYCAACATTTTGGTCTGTTGTGCCCTAACAAAAGGCAAACAATCGTTCAATACTTCGTACGCCTTCATCATGAACCTCTGCGTTGCAAATGTCGTAATAGCAATATTCAGTATGCCTTGGTGGGTGATGGTGGAACTATTCGGGTCATATCAAGTCTTTCATATGCTTGGACCTGATATTTTTCTGTTCTTTTTATTCATTGACATTCTTGGTGGCGTTGCATCGATCATGAGTTTGACTGTAATAAGTGTGGCTCGTTGGTTGACTGTGAGCCATCCTCTAAGTTGGATGGCTGTTTTGTCCTTCAAGAGGTGTATTTACATCATTGCGGGCGTATGGCTTTATGGTGTTATCGTAGCTACTTTAAAGTTTGTGAAATGGTCACAAGCACAAAGTAAGTATCTTATTCGAAATTTAAGGGGGGATTCTGTATCTTTCAGGCGAATCCGAGAGCAGAGCTATTCATGTCAAGTATTGCTGGGTTATATTCAAGCTGACAAAAGCCTTTGAATCTCATTATCTGCTCCAAATGGTGGTATAACACTAACCATCATGTGCTGTCAGCCAGAAAGAATCTCATTGAAAAAAATATGGCAATTGATAATGTTCATATAATAATAATAAAAAAAAAGATTAATGAAGGGAGGAAAAACCGGAGAACTTGAAGGATACACAGTTGTAGCACAGGAGAGAAGCAACAAGTAACTCTCGCACATACGCATCGAGTTTCAGCCGACCCTAGTTGCATTTGTGAAAGTTGAGCGCTCTAGCATTTAATCTTCTTATATATATTTATATTTTTTCTAATTTTTTAACATCTTTTCTCACTTTCAGCTTATTCTTTAATCGTCTTCGCCGTTGGATTTGCCTTGCCTTTCACTGTGTTGGCCTTGGCATACGGAAGAATGCTCTTAGTGGCAAAATACCAACAGATACACAAAACCACCAAATCATGGCAGACCAAATATGTTAAATCTAGCGAGAAAGTCAAAATGACAAGGTCAATTGAATGGGAAACGAAATTTAAAAGGAACTTCAAAGGCAGCAGGACAATGGCGATAGTAACAGGAACATTTCTGATATCATGGCTTCCTTTTTTTGTCATCAGTTTGTCGTACAGTGTCAACCCCAACATAGACTTAAAAGCAGCTCTAGCCGCTAAGTGGCTTGGGTATTCCAACGCGCTAATTAGTCCCTTGGTATATACTCTTCTAGATAAAAGACTTAAGAGAGCAGTCATGCGGTTGATTCGTAAACTTAAGCACCGGTTTTGTGAGCGCTCATGGTTTATTAGAGTTTTTAAAGGCGGAGCTAGCTAGATGAGTTTGGATTCTTGCCAAACCTTTAATCTTCCTAATAAACACTTTCATGGGGTGGGGGGACAGTATAATCCCATGCTGCACTGAAGGGCTGCGTTTATATTGTGAAAAATTGGAACAAAACGAATAGAAAACGGACTTCATTTTATATATTTTGTAACCATATGTCCCTCCCGTTCGGTCTTAACCCAAGCAACTGAGAAAGGAGAGGGACGGGGGGGGGGGGGGGKAAAGGGGGKKTWTAYTTTAACCCCCCCCCCCCCTCCCTTCTATGTACACACTCACTCGCAACTAAACTGATAATATTCTACATTGATATAATCTATAAATATCGATATTCTTAGACGGACATTCATGGCTAAATTTTGTTAATCCAAATAATATAATCTCAAAAACATTCCGAGTACCAATGTCTATACCAACTGAGCGGTGAACGCGGCGCGCAAAGCATGATTGCACAAAATGACCGGCCCTAAACTTAAAAGAACGAAGCGAACATGGCGGTAAAGTGAAATTGTTTTATTCTTCCTTTCAATGTATCTGCTTCTTGTAGGCACGTTTGTCATATTTTAGTCAAGAAAGAAAGCAGAAAAATACCCAAAAGTTGGGTTACAGTAGCCTGGGAATAAGGGCCCGCGGCAAAACAACTAAAAGAGTTGTGATTGGCTAAAATAAATTCACCGCTCATCTTGTACCATATGATGTAATATATATGAATGCATTATGTCATGACACTTTGAATTTCAGATTGAAATAATTAGCGATAATAATAAGATGTAATAACCAAATAAAAAAGCTATTTTCAAGCAATCATTACAGAAGGCAATAACAATAACCAGAAATAGAGCCCATGATCGTAGAGATAATAGATCAAGATATGATCATTAAAATATTAATTAAAAAAGTGTAAGTCAAAGCAAATAGTTATTGCAAGCGAAGAGCTTTAAGATGGCCGCTCCGGCGTTAGGGAAGTTGGAGAGGATGGGTTAAAATTCGAGGACATTGTTAACTGCAATAACTAGCTTTTTCTCACAATATATCACACTACGGGCAGTTGAACGTAACCTTAGGTATCAATATAAAAAAATTGAAAGACAAATTAAACAATATGCACGCATGAGTGAAATTGTAATGAATATAAGGTCATATAACAAATTCGACGTACAAAAAAAGACCAATTAAGTGTTGATATGGTTAAAAAGTCAAAATGAAATATTAATCTTTTAAGTAATGCTTTTGGGATATTGGGATATTGGGATATTGGGATATTGTTAAGTGCCTTCGGATTTAGTCAAGAGCTTAAAAACTGTACGTTGGTCAATGTCACTTCTAATGGAAGGAAAATAAATAATCGTGTCATTCGAAACTCAACAATGCGCACAATCTATTTGTGCATTGCATAATAATAATAATAATAATAATAATAATAATAATAATAATAATGCAAAGAGAAGAAAGTTATCGGAAGGCTTCAGCAGTAGAACTTTTTAATTTTTTGAAAAATAATTTCCCATTTAAAAAAATAAATATATTAAAATGCGTTTGTTTGTTTGTGTTGCAAGTGCCCGCCATCAGTAAGAAAGACATATTGTTACCTGACATCCTCGTTGGAACCATGTTTGAGCATAAAACTGATGAAGCCAACAACAAACGAACTAAGATGAGACTAAAATAGATTTTTTTCCACTGTATTGCTTCATTTTATCAAATCATTAAGATTTGCTAACATTTCCTCTTGAACTGTTGAACTGTTATCCAGGCTTTATCTATTACATAGTAAAACTCCAAATAATGTTTTTAAAACCGCTGACATTTTCAGAACGATCCGTAAACCTTTTAGGTGAACTACTACTTACATATTACACGCTTCAAGTTCACTACGCTCTTAAAAAGTTGATAAAGAATTGAGCAAGCTTTATCGAGATCAAATAGATAGTCCTTAAACCTTTTAGGCGCACAGTTCCTACTTACATATTACACGCTTCATGTTCTCTTCGTCCTTAAAAAAATGATCAAGAATTGAGTATTAAAGATCAAATAAATGGGTCCATAAACCTCTTAGGTGTGCTGCTACTAGATAGGGGCCTGATGATATTGGTTTTATATTGATTTTATTTTTAACTGCTAATAAATTAAGAATGGGGACGGCGGTATATAAATTTCCTTTGCTTTGGGACATACATTTATATCAAAATTGTATATCCTAGAAATGAAAAGTGTGGCCTAAATTAGAATAATTTGTTTTATGTTAATTAATAATACAGCTTCTCATTAATCCCATATAGGTAACTGTCCAATTATTTTCTTAATTGGACATGTCTTGTTGATATGGGATTAATTAGGCAGCTATATAGTTAATAGGTAATGGGATTTCATGCTCCCCAATCAAGAAATAATTAGACTCGAAAAATTCCTCTGACTGCCTCTTCTTTCCTTTCTCTCACTCGGGGGAAGGTAAAGAAGACTCTGCTCGCAGGGTATTCTGAGGTAAATTTTCGAGACCAAACTTTTTCTGTAGATGGACAATCTTCTGTTCAATAATGTTTTGTGTGGTGTTTTTGAGCCGATGGAGCCACCATAACACTGGTTCTCAGAGAGACGGAGGCTTGCTTTGGGGTTTGCGACCATGACTCGTTTATGCAGGTTCAATTTGACCGTAAAAAAATGTTCAAACCGAATCCACGGACTTTCTTCTGTCTTACAATGACTAAATCCCAAATAGTCTTCTACTCTATTCAAGGTATCCAATGTGCCCAGCACATTTGACACGTTTTCCCGTGTCAAAACTTGTTTAAATTGTCTTTGGTCTATAACTTGTCCTAAAGCGATTTTTTCTGTGCATTTGAGAGCCGCGTTTGTGAGTAGTTTTGCTTTGATATCAAGCGGGATTCCTGTGTCGTGTACACGGACTGACGGACGGACGGACGTACGGACAGAAGTGACGTCAGCCAAGCCATGAAAAATCAAATCGATGGTTTGCCATCTTACGCGGGAACTCCGCTTTTGACACGGTCGACCATGAAATTCTTCTGTCTAAGTTATGTACATATGGAATACAAGGAGTTTCCTTAAATTGGTTTAAATCGTATCTCGACAACCGCACTCAACAATGTCTAGTCAATGGCTCATTATCTGAACCATGTAGCCTAAAATGCGGTGTACCGCACGGAAACAATCCTGGGACCTTTATTATTCCTGTTGTACATAAATGACCTACCTAACTGTCTTCTAAATTCTAAGCCAAGAATGTATGCAGATGACACTAGTCTGACATACGCTGATAGTGATCCAACATTGATTCAATCAAGTCTTAATACAGATCTGAGAAACATCAGCTGTTGGCTTTCAAAAAATAGACTTACTTTAAACAAGACTAAAACGGAATTTATGTTGATTGGATCACAGCAAAAACTCAACACCCTTGCTGCCACACCAGTTCTCGAGTTAAATGAAGTACCGATTGCTCAAGTGAGTACAACGAAATCCCTTGGTGTACTCATAGACAGCAATCTTACCTGGAAAAATCACATTGAAAAGCTTTCCAAAAAAATTGCTTTAGGTATTTGGGCCCTAAAGCGAATTAGGCCATTCGTCCCATTATCAACATTACACATTATTTATAAAGCATTGGTACAGCCCCATTTCGACTATTGTAATGTCGTTTGGGGTAATTGTGGAAAAACTCTCTGAGATAAACTACAGAAGCTCCAGAATCGTGCAGCACGGGTGTTGACCTTCTCTAATTACGATGTAGATGCCGGGGCTTTGATTGAAAAACTGGGATGGTCTACCCTTAGTGTTCAAAGACAAAAACAAAAGGCCATCTTAGTTTTCAAGGCCCTACATGGTACCACTCCTGAATACCTTAGCTCTAAATTTGTATTCAAGAGGGATACCACTTGCTATTCATTACGAGACTCCGCCAACAAACTGAACATCCCTCTTCYGSGCACAAATTATCTCAAAAACACATTTACCTACAGTGGTGCGCAATTATGGAATAGTCTGCCAAATAACTTAAGGCAGGCAGAGTCTCTCAAAGAATTTCAT